CGAACAGGCCTGCAGAGGCTCCTCCCAGCCACCTCCATGAAAGACGACAGAACTCCAAGTCCCGCGTTGGGGTGCCTTCCCCCTTTTTTTTTTTATTGCCAAATTTTTTTTTAAAAAAGCCCCAACCCTCTTTTTAAATAATTTTTTTTTAAATAATTTAAAAATAATTTGGGAAATTTGGAAAAAAATTAAAGCTTTTTTTTTATTTCTTTTTTTCCCCAAAAAGTAACCCCTTCAGGGTTTCCCCATGTGAACCCCTAAATTCCCAACCCCCTTTTCCCCAAAAAAAAAAAAATCAAAATGGTTTGGGGGGGGGTTTTTCACCCCCCTTCCTCAAAAGGGAAAACTTTAACACTGGGGGGCCCCCCCCTTGGCCCCAAAAATAGGGAACAAAAAACACCCCCCTCCTTTGTTTTTTTTTTTTTTATTTGGGGGGCATTTTTTTTAAAACCAAAACTCCTTTAAAAATAAATTTTTTTTTATATTAAATGATTGGTTTTGGGGAAAATTTTGGGGAAAACCAAATTAAAGTTTTTTTTTTTTTTTTTTTTAGAACATTTTTTCTTTCCCCCCGCCCCCAAATACTCCTTTTCCACCCCCAGGTTTTCCCCCCAATGGGTTGGGGGGGACCCCCCTTAATCACTTCCCAAAAAAAATAAATTTTGCTGGGGGGGGGGGTTCCCCCCCAAAGGAACCCCCCTTTAAACCCAAAAACCTGGGGCATTTTTGCAATTTAGGAAAAAAAAACAACAACCCCCCCTCCCCCTTTTTTTTTTATTGCCCAAAAATTTTTTTTTTTAAACCCCAAACCTTCCCCTAAATTATTTTTTTTTTTTAAATATTTAATAAATGTTGAAAAATGGGGAACAATTAAGGTTTAAATTTTTCCCCCCTTTTTCCAATACCACCTTTTTTTTCCCCCCCAAGGTCCCAAATTGGGTGGGGACCTAAAAAAAATCCACTTCCCCCCCCAAAAAAAAAATAAAATTTGCCTTGGGGTCCCCAAAAAAAAGGAAAAAAAAAAAAAAAACTTTTACAACTGGCCTTCTTTGCAAAATAGGGAAAAAACACAAAAACCTCTTTTTTTTTTTTTATTGCCAAATTTTTTAACACTCCCTTAAAATATTTTTTTTTTTTTTTTTTTATATTTAAAATATTGGTTTGGGGGGATGGAAAAACCAATTTAAGCCTTTTTTATTTTTCCCCTTTTTCCAATAACCCCTTTTTTTTCCCCAAGGTTCCCCCCCAATGGTGAACCCCCCCTAAAATTTCCCACTTCCCAAAAATAATATGCCTTGGGTCCCCCCCCCCCCCCAAAAAGAAAAACCCCCTAAACCCAACCTGGGCCCCTTTTGGCATAGGAACCCAACACCTTCTTTTTTTAAAATTTGCCATTTTTTTTAGCAAACCTTTCCTAATATTTTTTTTATATTAATATGTTTTTTTGATTTTGGAAAACAATTTTTAGCCTTAAAATTTTTCTTCCAATACCCTTTTTTTCCCCAAGGGTCCCCCCAAATGGTGGACCCCTTAATCAACCTCCCAAAATAAATTGCCCTGGGTCAAAAGAAACCCTACCACTGGGGGGGGCCTTTGCCCCCAAATAGGAAAACCAACACCTTTTCCCCTTTTTTTTTTTTAATTGCCCCCCCCCCCATTTTTTTAACCCACCTTTTTTTTAAATAATTTTTTTTTAATATTTAAATAATGTTTTTTTGAAAAATTGGAAAACCAAATTAAAGTTTTTTTTTTTTTTTTAATTTTCCCCCCCTTCCCCCCCCCCCCCAAATACCTTTTTTCCCAGGTCCCAAATGGTGGACCCCCCTAATCCCAACTTTCCCCAAAAATAGAATGGCCCTGGGGGGGGGTCCCAAAAAAGAAACTTTAAACCCAAAAAACTGGCTTGGCAAAATAAGGACCCCCCCCCCCCCCACACCCCCTATTTTTTTTTTTTTTTTTTTTTATTGCAAAAAATTTTTAAAATAACCTCCCCCCTTTAAAAAATATTTTTTAATTATTTTTTTTTTGGAATTTGGGGACAAAAATTTAGCCCTTTTTTTTTTTTTTATTGGGCTTTCCAAATAACTTTTTTTTCCCCCCCCAGGTCCATGGTGGGACCCCCTAAATCCAACTTCCCCAACAAAATAAAATTTGCTGGGTTCCCAAAGGAACTTTTTTTAACACCTGGGGCCCTTTTTGCAATAGGAAAAAAAACCCCACAAAAAAAAAAAAAAACCACCCCTTCCTTTTTTTTTTTTTTTTATTTTTGGCCATTTTTTAAAAAAAAGCCCAAAACTCCCTAAAATTATTTTTTTTTTATAATTAATAATGTTTTTTTTGATTTGGGAAAACCAAATTTAAGCTTTTTTTTTATTTTTTCCCCTTTTTTTTTCAAAATACCTTCCCCCCCCCCAGGGTTTCCCCCCAAATGGTGCGGGAACCCTTAATCCCCACCCTCCCAAAAAATAAAATGGCCCTTGGCGGGTTCCCAAAAAGGGGAAAAAAACCCTTTTACACTGGCCCCCCTTTTTTTTTTTTTTTGCAAAAATAGGGACCCACACCCCCTTAATTTTTTTTTGTTATTTGCCAAATTTTTTTTTTTTTTTTTTTTAAAAATTTACTCCCTAAATATTATTAAGTATCTTTAAAATTATTTTTTGATTTTGGAAAACGATTTTTTAGCCCTTTTTATTGGCTTCCCCAAATACCCCTTTTTTCCAAGGTCCCCCAAAAAATGTTTGGAAAATACCCTTTTAAATCCCCCACCTCCCCCCAAAAATCAAAATTGTTTTTTTTTGGAATTCAAAAAAGAAACTTACAACTGGGGCTACATTGGGGGAACCACCAACCTCTTTTTTTTTTTTTATTTGCCCCAAAATTTTTTTTAAAACCACTCCTAAATTTATTTTTTTTAGAATTACAATTTTTTTTTTTTTTTTTTTTTTTTGATGGAAAAAAAAAATGAAGTCCCCCCCCCTGGAAACCCAAGGGTTCCCTTTTTAAACCCATGGGTTTTTTAGGAAAAACACATAAGATTTTTCCCCCGGACCCCCCCGGAAATTGTGGGAAAGAAGGAAAAAAAACCCCCCCCCGCCCTTTGGGCCGTCCCCGGGTTTGCTCGGGCCCCCCGCTTTTCCCTCTTATTCCCCCTGGAATTTTTTTTTTTTTTTTTAACCTTTTTTTTTTTTTTTTTTTTTTTCTTACTCCCCTTTTTTTCCCTCAAAAACATTTTTTTTTCTTTTAAAGCAAAAAGCCTTTTTTTTTTTTGGCCCGAACCCAAAGTTCCGTTAAAGATACCTTTTAAAATGTCCCAATCTTTTTACCACCTGCCCTGGATTCCACCTTGAGGATGGGTTTGGGGNGTGCTACAGGCCGCAAAGCATTGCACTTAGAACTACAATAAGCATGTTAATGTTAATCGAGCAGCGATCCACTAGCAGCCCCCCCCCACATTTTTCATTTTGAAATGCTCCCAATTTCTGAGGTCTCAAGGTTAGCAAGTATGTGTCACAGCAGAGCCACAAAATACAAATATGAACCTGAAAATGAGCACAAGACGGCCCCTTTGAATAATTGTTTTCATTGAAAAATAATATTGTTTTCGAGCGTTTAAATTGTTTTTAAGAGTTTTATATTATATTAAAGGGAATATCTTTGGGTAAAGGACTGGCAAAACAAAACATTCAAAGACATCACCTTCAACTTTGAGAATCTGGGATACACATTTTTTCACTATTTATAGACAATTTATAAACCAAATGATTAATCTAGAATAATAATAGACATACTAATCAAAAGTGAAAACAGTCCTGAGTTGCATCCCAAATGTTTTCCTTTGCTGTCTTTCCCACCCGATGGACCGAGCATCCTTTGTGTCCATGATCTCATGGTGTCCCTCCTGTGTTTCTGTGCAGTATGTGTCCGAGCTGCTCCACGAAAAGGGCCAGCCCATCGTGTCCACCTGCTCTGCTGCTGATGTTCAGGCTGCCTTCAACACCATCGTCACTCGCATCCAGAGATTGTGAGTCACACACACACACACACACACACACACACACACACACACACACACACACACACACACACACACACACACACACACACACACACACACACCCACCCACTCACTAGTTGAAAGACCATAGCCACCAGAAAGTGTGATCCTGCAGCCTGTTATCCAAGTGTGTGTTTATATTGGCCTGCTGCCAGAGAATTCCAGGATGCTATCGCTCAAAGGGCCGAATGTCTGTTTTTCTACCTTTTTAAAGCTGCTAGTGAGGTTTTTTGAGGAAGCTTAGAATCCGTGTCATCACCCTTGCAGAAACAGAATATTATCTATTTTATTGAAGTATTCAAGTTGTCCGTTGGTCGGGCCGTACCATTCCTGCAAACACGTCTCAGGCCATGAGGGAATTTCTTCAAATCTGTCCCAAACCTCCACTTTCGCTGAATAAGCATTTTCGTTGAAGTCACTGTGACCTCACAAAACACATTTAGCCATAGCATGTTAAATAGGATAAAGTGATAAAGCGATGCGGTGTTGGACAGACATGGATGTAACCTGCAGCTTGCCAGTGGTTATATAAATCTAATTAAGGCTTTATTAAAATGTTTATTTTAATTTCAACGTTATAAGCCGAGTTCTAAACTATTCGGTACAGCCTTATCGCTTACGCTGCTGAATTCCTCTAGTGTGAACCCATTCCATCACGATGCGTCTCTTTCCCATCTGAGTCTGCCTCCTTTCTTCCTGGGATCCATCTGCTCGGCTGCCAGCTGCTCAGGATGTCGTGTCAGAGGGAACCTGAGGCTGTCTCCGTTTGCTCCGCTGATTCTGTTAAACCTGTTTCTCTGTAATCCAGCTATACTTCCACTCTTTACACACCTGCTCCTCAGTTTAGTCCAGCTGGGGTCATGTCATGTGGAAGGTCTCTGATGTTAACTGCTCGGTGCTGTCACAGATATAGCCGGCTCCTGGGTTTCTCCTGGAATATCATCACTGAGAAAAAGGACAATTGCAACCCACACATTGTTAGGTCTTGTTTTGCTATTGGACAGTATGATCTTTCGACATTTTACTCAGAAGTCTCAAACTCTGAAGCATTCAGCTACAAAGTCATTTCTTAGATATTGTTTACACTTTTTTTAGTCTTCATAACTGAGTCGTAGGATTGTACGATCCAGATCTAAAAGCTGTTGCAATATTTGGTCTAACTCCAGAAAGACTTGCAGATTCTTGCAAGTGTCTGGTATTACAAATCATAACATAATCTGGCTTTTGATACTAAGGTATTAACCGGTTTTGAACATGGGAACAAAATACCCTCTTTTGAGGTATAAATCTTCAGACAGCTGTGAATTCTCTCACGCTCCCCCCATGACACAAATCTCTGTCTTAATTGCTCACCCCTCCTTTCCTTATGTCAACCCTCGCAGCTGTAACTGCAATGCACAGACACCCCCGACGATGAAGGTTGCGGTGGCCGGCGACCAGAGTTACCTCAGCACCATCCTGAGGTTCTTCGTGGAGCAACTGGCCAACAAGACACCCGACTGGCTCAGTTACATACGCTTCCTGGTCATCCCCATAGGTAAGTCCTCCAGGATTAGTGCAAACACCAGCTAAGGCCCTGTGTCCACAAAGCGTCTTCTTCTGGCACTCTCACCACCTTTGTTTGAAAGATTAGCAACCCGCTTTTGCTGAAGGGTGTTCTTTTTTCAATAATGACCGCCTCGTTGCACATTATCCCGCTTATTACAGGGCCACATACTAAATAAACAAATGACTTGACTCCCAATATTAATAAAAAAATATTTTATTGACGTAAACATTATCGTATTGCTTCTGCTAAGAAAATAATGGTCCTTTCCACAGCGTACCAATGGCTTGAACTGCAACAACATAACTTAAAATAACGGAAGCACTGGTCTAGGGTTGCCAGAAACTGACCATGATCAAAATCGATTATGCGGTAGCCCTGGCGAATAATAATCGATTATTCATAATCGACCAACGCATTGTTGAGGTTGAGCTGTGATAGACCAACGTCTTTTCGCAGAGCTTCCATTTAACTTCCTTTGGACTTGTAAGTTCGAAGTAGTTCCACGAGGAGGAACTCTTTTTACCTGTCGCTTTGTTCATCTTTAGTCGCACGTGTGAGGGAGAGGGGGAGCGGGCTCGGTGTGTAGCGTGCTGCAGCAGCATTCTGCTCTGCACGCAGGCTTCCTCCAAGTTTACAGTAAAACAAACTGGTGGTGACCAATGGCCATTTACAATTATTAATACTATTACTATTATTAGCATTAGTCTATATTTTGGTTGAAACTAAGCCAGAAAAAAAAAAAAATACATAAATAATAATAAAAAAATATATAAATACAATCGATTTTTCAAAATAATATTCGATTATGGAGACTGTAACGAATATTCAAATAATCGAATAATCACTGGCATCCCTACACTGGTCGGGGTTTAATTTAACTGTGCTTGTCTGTTTAGTTTCTTTTTCGCTAACAAGTCCTTAAACAAAACCAGAGCGGCCCAAACCGTGTTCCTTTTAGTGTTGACTTCCTGTCTGTGTTTAAGGACTTGTTAGCGAAAAAGAAACTAAACAGACAAGCACAGTTANGCGTCTTTGCATCGGTAAAAAAACGATTCATTCATATAAAATCCCCTCATCTTGTCAACGCTCAGCAGAGACGATCTTTGATCTTTGCTTTGCACTGCGGAGGCCGGGAGTCTCAGTTATCAACACACACGGAAGTCGAGGAGAAAGACAAACACAGCTCACCAAAAAATACCTACAAATCAAACGTTTGGCAACACTTCGGACTTTTCAAGAAAGACGGTCAACCTGAAAAATCGCTCGCAAATTGTAAACGATGCCGTGCCGCTTTAAAGTACACAAGTAGTACGAGGAACTTAGCGACGTACATAAAGAGGCGACATGGGGTCTGCGGCAGAAAAGAGAAACCTGAAAGTGAGACATATGAGTTCAATCACTCAGTGAGGTGTTCTGTTAGAGAGAGTGGTGTTTAGTTTACAACAGCCTGTGACTGCCAATAATAGTTTAAATGTCTTCCTTACTGTAAGCAGTTATGAAAGAGCTGTTTGTGAAAGGTTATTTGTATTCTTTATTGTTCATATAGAAACCACTGCTTTCTGCTCACTGGTGAGTTAGCCTATGGATGAGTGTTAAGCACATCAGGCTGGCAGCTGTATGGGCATTGCACTATGGTAGTTGTTATTTGCACATTGTTAATCATGGGCAATGCATCCTTAAATTGTTTGACTGAGGTTTTATACAATTGTACTGTACTCTGGAGAGCTTTTTAAGGTAAAAAATAAACAGCACGATGGGATGCGCAGTACTAGTAGAGAGAACCAAATATGTAAATCACTTTAGTTAATTTATGATTTGCTGCATATAAGGAATAAAACAAAATCCTCTGTCGTACCATATTGAAGTATCATTATGTTTGCATCGTGTTGAATCGCATCGTATCGAACTGTATGGCATCGTGTTGAATCGCATCGTATCGAACTGTATCGCAACAGGGGTGAGTCGTATCGTATCGCATCGCCTGGTGTTTCAAATGTATTGCTGGCAACGTATCGAGATGCGCATCACATCGGCCTCAGTGATGGAGATGCACTTCCCTAATTCATACAGATCACATTCTACTACACGGTACCCAGAGGTGACTTTGTGCATGTCTCCTCTGCAATTGACTATTTCCTTGCACAATATATACGATGATCTCTTTACAGGAGCTACTGGAGGAGCAGTAAAAAGCTAGTTCGCAGAGACAGCCAACCTCTTCAAAGAAGCGTTTCCCACATCACATGAACCCATTTTAATCAAACAACATATAAAAGATTAATAGTAACATGCACTCATTCTGAACCACTTCCAGAGATTACAGATCATCACATTTTTACCTACATGGATGTCTAGAAAAAGTGTTATCTCATTGTTGCTCTGCATTTTAAAAAACCCCATAAAATATCAAAATCAAATATAGATATTTCAAAAGGAAAGAATTCCTTGTAAAAACAAACCAGTGATGGTCATTGTAAGTTCATGTTAAGTACACCAAAAGCAGAACTACCAGAGGGAGGGCTTACAATCAGTGAAATAGTCAGCAGACAAGAAGTAACACGTTTGGGGAGAACTTGACCATATATATATATATATATGTTATACCACACATAACTGAGAGCCATTTTGTGCTGTCAATACATGAGTCAGTACTTTACATAACAGTCTATCACATGCTTTAAAGTAAATTAAGCTGACTCTAATTTGCATTTGCAAAGATACGACTGTTGTATAGAAGTTTGAACATTTAGACTCTTGCTCTCTATCTTCACTATGTTACAAAAAGGCAACAATAAAAGTAAAGCATTAATTATAAATTATAAATTATAAAACACAGGTTTTGCTTTAAGAAATATCAGACGGGTGAGAATTTTTCTTCACAATTGCAGTGAACAGTACTTTTCTCCTTGGAAGGGTTGGACCTAAGCGCTTCCCTTCCATGAACATGATTTGAAATGATCTCAAGATCAAGTATGCTCCTGGATCAGACAGCTTTTTACCCAGTACAGTCGCTCAGAGCCTCAGCAGTTAAACGCCTGTTAGGATGAAAGGCCTGACGAGCTGAGAGCATGAAGTAGCTCACAAAGAGAAGAAGCGCTTTCATGTCAGTCAGTGGAAAAACAAACAGCTTCACCTTCGTATCATTCACCGACACCTGCATCATCGACTGTTGCTTTCCTCAGACTGCTGGAGTTCATATGTCCCACGTCTTCAAAGAGTTGTGATGAAGTCCAACAGGCTGGTTTCTTAAAGCTGCCCTTGAATTCATCTTTAACATTTACTTTGTTGGTGTTCCATATAAAACATGGGCACATTAAACTAATGATAGCATCACAAGATAATAATAAATGTAGCAGCTATAACTAGTTAGAATACTAAAATACACTCACTATGTACACATCACACTTATAAACTACAGCTCAGAATCATGTCATTTGACCTTTTATCCAATAGACCTCATGACAGGGTACAGGAGTTATCAGGATCAAGTGTTAGTCATGTTCAGCAGCAGCCAGTTAAGTAGCCATTAAGAAGACACGTTCACTTCTGTAAACACAGGCACACCAGAGGAAAAGCTTTTTAAATAAATCCCTCATTCGGAGCCTATCATTATATCAGAAGCTGGTGAAGATGAGACCTGGTGCATTAAGAGATGTTTGATTATACAACAGATAGGATCAGTTCAGTAAAACGACCTATTGTAATCAAAGTATAGCCTTAGGATGAAAAACAAGGCAAAAAGGGAATATTACAAAGAATCTAGATATCCATTAGAAAACCCCCTAAATGCCTACTAAAGGTTTAAGCCATATATGAATAATGCCGTCATTGTTTGGCCACAGCTTGCTGGACCAGGAAACTAACCTCAGTTTCAGTGGCAGATCAGAGTCTCATACTTTGGCACGGTGAGGAGCTGATGAAAGAAGGACTCGTCCTCCAGCAATAGCGCTGAACGCTGGCCAAGTGCATTATAAAATGACTGTGCAAATCCACTGCGATCCTCCTTCAAATGAAAAAGGAAACCTTCAGGGTGCCAGAGGCAGATGGAAATGAGAGAGGACAGGGATGACAGAGATGAGCGCCGATGGTGGGGAGAGGAGGACGGAGCTGCTTGCGGGATGACGGTGACCTTCCCACTGCTCCGTCAGAATTAAAAACAACAACATGAGCTCAGGGCGCACATCGAGAGACGGCCCCGCCCACAGCTGGAGGAGAGCAGAGGAGGGTGGAGATGCAGGTCTGATGGGGGAGGGACACATCCTGATCTAGACTCTGCTCCTTTGCACTCATCAGACACAAAGGGATGGATCTGATGAGACTCAAAAGGGTGACACTATTTACATGTTACCATGTAAGCCACTGCAAGGCCAGCACCTACTGTCTCATTGTACTACAAAAAGCTCACGTCAATACATTCACACCTTAGGACCAACCAACACAGTTTCTGATAAGACAACTTTCACTTATAATCCAATCATTTCGCTTTTACGATCCAGCTCATAAGTGATGGGAACATTTTTAAGCCACCAGACAAAGGACTATTATATTTTAGAACATTTTCAAATGTATAAACCTCTTAAGGGACTTTAAAAGGCTTATTGACACAGCAGTGATTTAACGACTATGTGGTTTCTGATAACATGATTATACTAACTCATATTAGCCCCTAAATATCTGGCAATAGACCACCTTTGGTCTTATGAGGGAAATCAATCCAGAGTAGTGTTAATGCATTCCCAGATGTTAACCACACCTAAAGGCACCCCCACTGAAGCAATGTTTCTTATTCAACTAGTAAACAAACAATAAATCATAATCTCCTATGAAGAAAATAACCTTCAAACACCACAAAAGCTAAATGTATTTTTTGTTATAAAAAAACGAACACATTGTTACAATAACAACTGAATAGACATGTCTTACTCAGACGTTGTTTTGATGAGGTGGATCAGGAACTGACTTGTCATATGACTCAACCTTGCAGAAGGATCAAAGGTCATGTCATATTGAAGCAGGAGTCTTTCCACATCCTGCCCAGATATCAAATACCAGAGAGGGTTGCACAGAGTTATGAAAGACAGTGCTGTGTTTATAGAGAGAAATTTGCACTCTCTCTCTCGTTTGTCCATCCAGAGCTCCACTCTTCATTAGCCTCCATCTCCACGGAGGCCTCAAGCCTCACATGATCACGTCTCCCTTTAGAAAACACCATCAAGCTCCCTCAGGGCCTCGTTCGCCGAATCCTTCCCTACCACAGCATTACAGTCATTCAAATCGATTGTGCTTTTGGAGAGGACAAACTGAATGACCTGTAATTGCGTATAATTGTGTACTTTATACTGCCAAGTATAAATCTTCCTGACTTAAGGGCATGATGAAACCACTAAATACTACTTTTTCTTTTATACAACCGTATTGAGCAAGCTGAGCTTGAAATACTTCATGAGCAAATACAAAACATAGCACAGGCTGCAGGAACAGGCCGTTTGAGAGAGGGTGTGGTGCTTGATGGAATTAAAATGATCAAATACTAGGGTAGAAAAGGGAAAACAAGACAGACTATGGAGAGTGCATCAACAAGCCAGTGGACAATGTCTGTGCCATCTCCCTTGATAAACATTTTCTATCTATTTGATGAAGTTTGACACCACCGGATCACTTCATCTTGCTCTGTTTACTGCACAGCAGTCCAACAACACTGTATGGATCACTTCCAGACACAAAGCAGAGCCAGTCATCAGGGAGGGTGTGGCGGGGTCTGGGACAGCCAGGAGGGAAGTGCCACTGTCACTGCCCACAGTCATCAATCACTCCACTGAAACCAGCTGCGAGAGGGCTGCTCCCCACAAATGGTGGTCTGAACACTGCCTGCATGGATTTTGCTAACGTTACTGATGCAGAAAAACTGTATTGTTGCAGTGGAACCTGTGCTTATAACACTCACGCAGATGTACAATGGTGTCGCCCTGATCAAACACAAAGCTCGACATTTGATATAATGACGTGGTAGCTACATGTTAATGACTTTGCACAACCGTAACGAAAATTTAACACAAACAGAGTCTTCTGAACATTTCCAAGTTAATCCCAAACTAAATAAAATGGTCTATCATTTAACTCCAGCGGTGATCATAATTAAATTCACATTTTGTTTTGACTTTTGTAGCGCAAAACGGGGTTTATTATTCTACATCCATCTACATGATTTAGTGTTAGCAATATGGGCACATGTTGCCTGTTATATAAACATGGGTATATTAATTATAATGATATTGTAAATGCTCATTGAATAAGCTACCCCACAGTGAAGCTTGCTTTTTGATCTGTTAAGCGCTCTGCTTAGCAACTTTGATAGCTAGCTCCGGCTAACCAGCTAGCATCACCACTCCCTAGCTGCTCCTGCCGTTCAAACCACCACCTTAATCATTTATATACACGGTATTTCACAATGATATCGCTTAAATACACGGTCACATAGAAGCTTCACATATTTATAATATTAATTAGTGAAAGTACATCTATTACTTACCAAGAGCTAGGACTGACGGCTAGCTCAGCCCCTTTAAATCCAAAATGTCTCCGACACCGCAAGATTCTCCCAGAAGCCCCTGCGGCTGATTTAATTAAGGTGACGTCATGTTTTGTTTTCGATCCACAGGGTTGGGTCAGACAGTCATGGATGTATATTCAGATATGAGTCAAATAACACAGTCAGTAAAATAATACAAATGACATGGCCATTTATCTGTTAAAATAATTAGTACCGTTAACTATTGGATTGCCAGAAATCTAATCTGAATACTTTGGAATACATTTTAATTAGGCCTATTTCAAATTCAGACATTGCAACTTAAAATAAAATAAAGGGTTTAAAAACAACCATTTGGGATCTGGAAGTATTATTTTTTCTCTTTAAACATCTCAAATATATTAGGAAATTCAGTTGATCAAATTACTCTCCCAAAACCTACTGGCATCACTACAGGTGGGCTACAATATTATGTTTTTAGTTGAAAGTGCAGACATAATTTTTTTAATGTTTTTATCTCACTTTTAAAGACATACGACCACGCTATAAAGTCATAACCAGTCTACAGTCATAGCCCTTTATATATACAGCCCATATCATAGCCATATAGTGTCATATGAATAGCCCATACATTCCACCACAGAAAGAATACCAAGAGTATTTAGTGACATCTGGTGGCTAACCTGTGGCCAACACTCACATGAGAAAGTCATTCTACCACTTTAATATCATTACCATCTTCCAAATGATTCTACAAACAATTGACCCTCCTAAGGGAAAATATAACAGACGTCCCATTTACCCAGATAAACACAGTTCCTCTAGTATTACACGTGTAGCCTACATGAAACACACAATGGCACACCATGTACATTGTTTTGAAAAAACTAAACTTAACATGATAATTAACTCAGACAATTATTTTAAATAGAAGCTGTCTCTCTAAATTAACAGAGGACAGTTCATTATTGTGTCAACTATAGCCACCTCCTCACCCCCTGACAGCACCCAATACCTGTTGATAATATTAACCTGTATTATAAAGAAAGCTAATTTTGAATTTTACTTAGTTGAACCTAAAAATAAACTAATTTCATAATTAATGTACAAACTTAATGTTATATTGTACATAAAAAGGCTATGTTACCCAGAGGCGACATTGAAACCAGCTGATTTATCTAATGTTAATGTACTCTATGTTTTTATTATTATACAATTATAAATACAAATATTTGTTATGTATACTCTTAATATAGTACAGTGCATGTTTGACTTGTACATTATTTTGTACAAGGCAGAGCTGTATAATAGAATTATATAATATAATACGGCTCTGGTACAAGGATAGAGGATAAAAAGAAAAAAATACACCCCTGATTGGGAGTCAGAGTACACGTCATCAGTGCACGACGCAGCGTGTAGGACTGTGAAGGACGCCGAATAGAAGCTTGTGATGAAATAAGTCTAATATAAAGGTTGGTTTACTCTCAAACTGTATTATATCGCAAGTGGACATGGGATAAGGGGCACATTTCGGTGTGGTTTAATATAACAGAAATTCAAAGGAAGGTGTATTTATGGAGCTAGGTTAACCTCAGGCTAAGCTAGCGATTGCTAATGTTTATTTGGTAAGGTTACTGCAAAGTAACTGACAGTTTATCCACAATTGAGCCATTTAAAATATAGAAGGTAATACTATTTTGGTGACCAGTAACCGTTTGAATCCTCATGGTTTAGTTCAGCATTAATGGGTTGAAAACCGGAGTACTTTGAAGCTAATGTTGCACGCCAGTTAGTGGGACAAACAGATGAACTGAAGCGACAAACTACCAGCTGATAAACCTGCCCTCTGCTCCACAGATCTGTCAGGAGGACGCTGTTATGATGGCGCTGTCGTGTCTAACCCGAGCCCTGCGGTCCCTGACTCTCTCCCAGCCTGCCCTGCTTTCCTCGCAGGTAAACATCCCCTGCCTGTTCTTCATACCAGAGATCTGATCCCCCATCACAACCACCAGACAATCAATATAGCTTTCTACTGTTTACAGGAAGTTGCACAGACAAAGCTGGCACCTCATGTGACTGGTGTAGTCCTAAACCAGTGCAGAGGCTTCCTCACTACAGCCTCTCTGAAGCAGAACAAGACACAATGGAAGCTGAGGGAGAAGTATACAATCAAACCTATTGGCATGAAGAAGACCGGAGGCAGAGATTACACAGGTAGAGACTGAGGAGGACAAGGTTAAAGTTGGTAGCAAATGTGCAGTTCTGTATTTGCCCTATATTGTGTTTTCACTGATAGATTACGAGTTGTAAACAGAGATTAAAAACTGTATTTTAGTGTCTAGTCAAGGTCTAAATGGGATAAGCGCAGGAGGGGAAAAATAAACTGCCTTTACAAATAGAAGAAAGTCTTACAATTTGGCACAGAGTTTAAATCCATTTTCAAACTTTATCTGCAAGTCTAAGTAGACTAAGTAACGTTTTTGTAAATGTGTAATAGGTTATCTACAGAGCTAAAAATGTATTTGTCCTTAAGGATAAGAAAATATTCCCATTTCCTGAAAAGGGTTAAAATTAACAAAACGAGCTATTTGCAAATGTCACTCTGGGTCTCAAGACATTTTGATGGACAGTATTTTAATTATTGAACGTTTTCGCAAATGCACAACCCAAATGTGTAGTCTAGTAAACAAGTAAGAAATTAGCAGAATAACTGATAATGAATAGTAGTGAAAAAGGGTGTAGTTGCAGGCATTGCCGCCCCTCCATATACGCAGAACACGTGCAGTGCGTAGGGCCTCTATTATTTAGCGCAATTTCAAAATCTCCTACGTAGGGCCCCAATTTGGCCAAGGGCAGCACTTGTTGCAGGCCTGTTTGAAATGAGCACCAGTTTAACTGTTTTACTTTGAGAAGCCTGATAGTAACATGTTCCTCCTGTTTTATACTTAAGTCATCAATCAGAAGTCATGTTTAACCTGGGGTAGAGGGCGGAAATCATTCAGTGATATATTTGCTTTGACAACAGCTGTAGGGCCTGTTCTGACTCGAGCCAGGTGTGAGGAGTTGTTCACCTTTTTCTTTCTGCGTCACAGGAAAGGTACGAACACATGGCATTGGTGGAGGCCATAAACAGAAGTACCGGATGATAGACTTCCAGCGGCTGCGCTATGAACCAACCAAAGTGGACCAGCCCTTTGACGAGAAGGTGGTTGAAGTGCGGTACGACCCATGCAGGTGAGATCAGCTCTCACCTCACAGGACTTTTGATTCTAAAGACAGAGTTGTATCCTCATGATCTGTTCCTCAGGTCTGCTAACATCGCCATGATAGCTGGAGGCAGCCGCATGAGATGGATCATCGCCACAGAGAACATGCAGCCTGGAGACGTCATTAAAACGTCTGCAGTTATCGGACGCATGGCAGGTAAAAAGATCGTCTAACCTTGCCTCAAGATCTGTATTTCACACAACATTGTACTAAATATTTTTACTTTGCAGTCTCAGCCAATGAGGGCGATGCGTACCCGCTGGGGGCTCTTCCTGTGGGGTCGCTGGTGAACAACCTGGAGATACAACCAGGGAAAGGATCCGAGTACATTCGTGCAGCAGGTAGTTACTGTTTAGGCTCTTTCTTATGATTCTGAACAGTTAAACACTTTTTTCAATTCATTTGTCTTCAAAATGTCGTAAGGTTGTGAAGTTAAGGCCAAACACTCTTCAGTCATGGACAATCAAACTCAATTTAACACAACACCACATATTCATGTGATATATCAATAGTGTGTGTACTTTATCGCCATAAAAGATCATCATCAAAGAATGATCCATACAGCTTCTATAGAAAGACAACTTTATAGTAATAAAAGCTGAAAAATATTGATTTATTTGCTTTCATTTGAGAAAAATCCCTTTCTAAATACACACCCTACAGACCTAATACAATCATTTCATGGTAATATAAAATATGTGGAGTTGTAAGAATATAAGTGTTTTTGCAGTTTATTGATAGATTGATTAATTTAATGCAATCTGAGTGCCTCGTCGTTTGTAACAAGGTTATAGTTGCTGTCAAATGTGGTGACTCATGATATCTAACCTGGATGTATTTTTGCTTTTCAGGCACAAGTGGCGTTTTGCTCCGTAAAGTGAATGGAACTGCGATCATTCAGCTCCCTTCGAAGCAGCAGGTCCAGGTGAGGTATCCATATTTAAAATAGTTCCCTGTTTTCAAACTATGATCTGCTCTGAATGTTTTCATCTGGACACACACAGGTGTTGGAGACCTGCATGGTCACAGTGGGACGCGTCTCAAACATCGACCACAACAAACGGATCATTGGTAAAGCCGGGCGAAACCGCTGGCTCGGCATCCGTCCCTCGAGCGGTTTGTGGCAGAGGAAGGGGGGCTGGGCGGGACGCAAGATCAAACCCCTGCCTCCCATGAAGGTCTACGTCAACCTGCCCTCCATCTCTGCGAGCTAACACACTGGACATTTGCTGGATTTGAGATGGTTGTCTCTTATATTAAATCAGGTTGTTTGTCGGAAGAGAAAGTATGAATAAAGACAAGCGGTTTGTACAGAAGATTACAAATTTTAATAAACAACTGCTTGTGGAGCATGGAAAGAAACAAAACAATATAAAAATCCAAAACATATTTACATCTATAGTAAAACATGCAGAGTAATCCATATTTTTTTTAGTGGTAAATTAAAAAATACTGTCATGTCCTTTAAAATAGGGTTTGTGCAAAGACACTGGGTGGCATTTCAAGTAACAGGAGCAATGAGATGGCATTTAAACAAATGCTGATGTTCATTTGTTGCTGCGCTAAAGGATGCCAAGTGATGCCTGCTCATTGATCCAGTCTTTTAAAAACACCCCCATGCTACCTCTAGAATTAGGGCAAAAAGAAGCGAAAACTCGAGGTCAAATATATTGAAATACACTCGTCGTTGTGCCTTTTTAATATTTCAAAGACTAACATGACACATTTCCTCCAACACCTCACAGTCTGTTTCATACTGTTAGGGCCAGTTGGTGTCCCGACTCAAAGAAGATTAGTAAAGCCTTCAGAAAGCAGGAGACAGGGAAACTTGACTGATTAGTCCCAGGCAGACGCGCATGGTGGTAGCTGCTAAATAAGCGTTTCAACATCAAGTGGCAAAGTAACAGACGGCCAGAAAGGGTTATCAAGACCTCGTAGGACGCTTAAACCCATAACAGAAACACAACATCCCTATGAAAAAGGTTCATTTTGAAAACTAAAACTGCCTTCTCTTGACTAAAGGTAGTGGTTTTACAATTCAAATTTAACACTTCACCTCAAAAACAAAGTGTGTCCCAATTTGAGCTAAAATATGTAGAAAACCACATGAAAGTGCATTACAAAGTGAGGGAAATGTATGAGAGTAGTAGTGTACAAGTCAACTTCATAGTTATGAGTTCTGGAAATATATATTTGGCATTTATGTCAAGAGATAAAGGTAAGCTATTTGTGCTTTTCAATTGAGTGGATAGTAGGGGGGAATTCACAATAATACATCTTGTATATATTTATAGACATTACTAAGAAAAGCCAGCCAATCAAAGTCTTCACTTTATAAAAAAAGCAACAACTACCTCATACAGAAGGCCCTTTGTCCAAAGGTTTCCTATTGCAAAAGTTTCACGTAACACTATTCAGGGAGTACCATCGAAACACATAGCACACCAACACAGACACACAGGCAGTAACTCGGACGTCTGGCAAGGCTCCATACACCTTTCATCAGATTGAAAGTAATTCAATACTTGCATTGCGCTCGACACTGCTGTCAAAGCAAGTCACCCTCCTCAGTCATTTTACCCATACCTGTCCAACCTATCAGTATGCTTGAGACGCTATAATAAAGGACACAGCGGTAATTGCTTGGTTAGGATGTGTACACGCTTTGCAAATGCTTAATGGGGCTAACTGTGGAGTACTAACTGGTTTATTATCTCAGTAATCTAAATACTGATCTCCACAGGGACCATGAATACATTTAATGTACTATTTTAGTTTCATACTGTGACGTTTGGACTAGCCAAGAGCTCTGGTGGTCACACTGTAAAACAAACTCGACTTTGGCACATCACTGCACGTCTGGAGAGATTTGCTAAGTTTCCGCAGGTCTGTGAGACGTCCACTCAGGTAAGCCGAAACATCAAGTTGAACACAAAGGGGGAACGGAAAAACAATACAACAGTTCACACAGTCACAACTAAATTTGGCATTCAGCTGTTGATAGTTAAAATATGTACTGCTGCGTCATGTGACCCTGCTTCTAAGTGGGTGTGACAGTCTGGATGTTAGTGTTTGCTTACACATTCTTACAAATGCTCTATAGCTACATTCATTATAGCTACCTTCAAAAAATTCCTTGTTTTTTTGTTTGTTTTAGGTACACAGTGTGCCCTAAGAGCAACGAGGCAAAACAGATCTTTCTGTTCCTTTCTATAAAAGTAGTGAGAAAGTAAAGGGACGAGTAAGAAAACGGAGTTTCGAAGAGAAGGATTCCATCTAGATTCACAGCAATATTCCAACTTTCAACAACAAACACGGCCTCAAACGATCTCACGCACGCCACCGCCACACTCTTCCATTGCGTATAGAGTAACAATAAATGTAGGATTTCACAGAAATAATAAAATGTTAACAAAAACAAAGTGCAAACACAGCTGCCATTATCGAAATGTGGCAAATTGTCATAAAACCTCAAAATACCTCCGAGGCGGTAGCACAAATCTTACAAAATAGTACTTGTTCTTTTCGTAGTGTGTAAAAAACAGCAACAACACCCAAACAACGTCAACATCAAAAACATCCAATTGACAACATGAAGGTTGTGTATTAAACACGTGGTTGTGAGACAGTAAGATTTCCACAGGAAAACTATTACTGCCGGCCCGTCGGCTTTTCCTCTGATTCTCTGCATCCTCTCAGGGAGACAAGTGCAGCGGAGAGTCTGGTGGAGTGGGGGGGCGGCCGGGGTCACACAGGCTTAGTGTACCCGAAGATCCCCACTGGGAAGTGCTTTACGTGGGTCGGCCACTGGGCAGCGAGCTGGAAAAACTTCACGTCGTTCCACTCCACTCCATCGATAGTGACTGAGGACGAGAAGCAAGGATTAATGCACAAAGAAGATAACACGTTCAATATTTCAGGATGGACGCTCTGGAATTTGAATGTCAAAGAGCAGATGAGTCTGTACGGGTCATAAGAATTTCTTCTGTTGAGGTTTTCAAGTGGACTGATTTTTTGACGTCAGACATTTTTTAAATCCTCAATTTGAATACACTGATTAATGGGATCAATTGAGTTCTATTCTTCTTAATTAATATACCTAATCAGTCCCATTAACATAGATACATTTATGACATGTTGAAATAGCACAGAATGAAACGCAGATACATATTGTTTGTAACAACTTAAGTAATTTACTATAATAGCGTTAGAGCAGAGAATGCTGTTTTTGAAAAAATATGGATTAAAGCAGAATATTTAAATATACAAGATATGTTTTTATTTTTTATTATAAAAATATACCTTTTATTTAATGAAATGTGACCAATTCTTGGACACAACCCTCCACAGCCACCTCGAATGTAATCTAATAAAAAGGCTAACTCTAATAATATAAGTGTATCCTAATCTTTATCAGCAACTGTGCAGAAATACCAGGCTTAAACTAATGAAATAAACTTTAAACAATTTGATACAGCTCTAAACACGTTGTTTACGCAACTTTTAATAAGTAAATGCTATTGAAAGTCCCCCCTTCTCCAGCAGAGGGCGCTGCAGCCTCAGCTGTGTGAACAGAGCAGTCTTACCTCTCAGCATGGTGTGCTGGTGCTTGGCTGTGCAGATCAGTCTGCTGATGCCGTCTATCACCTGGCTCTTTGAGTCCAGATCCTTCTCCTTGGGCTTCTTGCTGAGAAATATCACTGGAGAGAAAAAATGAAGCCATAAAAACACATTTTCTTTAGCTTATTGTGTTATTTGTGTACTGTTTTACACAGTTTTACGAATAGAAAATGTGTTTGCAGGTCTCAGGGAGTACTAATGCACATGTTTTTTCTCTTTATTTTTATGACTTTAATCTTTTTGATTCCAATTTATGTCTAGGAACATTACCTGCTCCCCTGGCTCCGTAACCCTTACTGATGTTTTCATTAACATTGATTTATAAGCGTGTTTTCCAAGGCGTACCTTTCTTGTTCTTCTCCTTGGTGACTACAGTCATGGCCATGCTGGGTGGGGGGGTGAGTTCCCCCCCGCAGGGCAGGCGGCTGACTTGCAGAGAGCGGAAGTTACTCTTCAGCGTGTTCTTCAGTCCAACATCCCTCTTCTCCCCCTCCTTCTTCTTCTCTGGGCCCTGCCACGTCCAGTAGTCCACCTGCAGCCCCATCACCTCACTGCCAAAGCACGGAGAGCTGCAGCAGGGACAGGCGGGTCAGAGCCACTACCACTGAGAAACAATAATGTGTGAGTGTGTGTGTGTGTGTGTGTGTGTGTGTGCATACCCAGCTCCAGAGAGTGCGGTGGACACAGAGGGAGACTGAGGGGGGGTGCCGCCGATTTCCTTCCCATACGGACCGGCCGATGGGGGCGTTGGGGAGCCCAGGATGCTCGTGTTGACCCCCATCGCATCATCTGAATCCACTGCACATTGGGGGGGGGAAAAGTCTCTTACATAAAGCTTTAAAGTAACACTTTAAAAGTCACCTATTATGAATGAAACATCCATTTTTTCATGTCTTGTATACATAAACACGTGTCCCCTCTGTGTTAAGAGATCTGAAAGTTTCAGGGCAAAAGATTCTCTCACTTTTGGTCCTGATCCATTTATATAAAAATCCTGTCTGAAAATGGGCTTATCAGATTTTTGCCCTTTTGTGATGGGTTGTATAACCATAAGCCAACCAGGGTAACCCCGCCCACCTTATCACCTGACTCTCCTCCTAGAGCACCATTGTGTTCTTTTTAACCAGATATCTTGCAGAGGGGCGTGGCCAAGAGCAGCTCATTAGCATTTAAAGCTACAGAACCAGAATCAGCACTTTTGAAACAGGGCTGAAACAGAGGGGTTTATGGGATGCTACAATGCATGATCTGTTTGGTATTTCGAGCCATACACTTTTATTTATCTGAGACCTATATTATATGGTTGGAAAATAGTATAATAGGGGACCTTGAACGCTTTTTATTGAATACCACAATATATAGGCCAAATGTCCTGACAAAATAAACCCTAACCTGACAAAATACTACCACACCTTTAAAAAGAAAAAATTCCTTACCTGAAGTTGAGAGGCTCTGCTCCACAATCCCAACTTTCACAACCTGCACAAAAAGTAATCCTTCAGTGTGAAACTAATTAATGTGAAAAGTCTGCTTTATTAAATATTTCATCATAACTCAAGCCTGAAAGAAATATTTGATAGAAACCTATCATTTCTTTCATCAAGACATAATTATTCTACTTGACAGTCATCTGAGGGTGTTCCTTTGTTGCCCCGTGTAGAAAAAGTCATTTGACAGAACCGTTCATTATCGAGCGATGGTGGCATGGATCCATTAGCACATTTTGATTATATTCTTTTATGCGGGGCAACATTCAGTGCCTTCTTGGTTTTTATCTTATTATGTTGTAGAATATGTGATTTCTTAGAAAGATATCCATCCGACATTTATTTGTAATTTAGTGGATAAGTTGCCAAGTTAATTTATTTCCCAATTATCTAAGAGCTGAAATGATTGTACAGAGCTATCATTGGTATTACATAGGTGATGACTATTGTATTACTATTACCGTTTTAAGTATTGCTAAAAATATTAATTATGGTTCCATGTAGAGAAAGTACCTTTACAATAGAGTAATAAGGATCTAAATAACACAAAACATTATTCTGGCACCTCAGAATAGGAAAATAAAAAGATCTTACCCCAATAAATGGCACAAACTTCTGACAGGAGTCCTCATCAGGGCTGTAAACAGGAAGAGGGGTAAGAGGCTGTGAGTATGACCTTAGGTAGATTTTTTTTAACACTTCAGAGGTCACATGAACACTCAATGGTCCTGGAGGGAGGATGGCTGTTGCATGACCTGCATCATGTCCCATCGCAGAAGAAATGGCACATTGGGTGGAATGGGGTCATCTTGGGGGTCATGTTACAATGAGATGAATGGGGGGGGGACGCTCCTTACAACCGAAAGAAGATGAGATCATACTTATCAGCCGGGACTAGGAGCTAATTCTATACATGGGACCTTAAGTGATAGTTTGGGTCCAGCCGGGGTAACCTTGGTAACACTACTCTGAAGTGCTGAGTTTCTAGTTTAATACATGCCTTAAAAAAGATAGAAAAAAAAAAAAGTCCTTGTCATTAAAGTTACAAGGTATATTTCAACCCCAAAATGATCCAGTTTATCCATGACTCACCCCTTTTACTTTGAATTAAAAGACAAATATAATCATAACATCAAACCATAATAAGTCTAATTTATCCAGTATGCTCACTACTTCCTGAACACACGCATTTTCACTTTCAACAAGCAAAAAAGCATGTTCACATCGATGAGTGAGGAATTGATAAACAAATGACCCTTTTGGGGGTGAAGTAAAGACACACACACACACACACACACACACACACACACACACACACACACACACACACACACACACACACACACACACACACACACACACACACACACACACACAAAACTAGTTTGTGTGTTTCACGAGCCCGCAGAATAGATTCCACCCACAGCAAACAACGGAAGCGCGAGGAACGCTGCTGGCTCCCGCTCCAGTGCATATAAAGGAACGCAGCCCCCAGCTATCTGACCACCGTGGCCGGTGCTCTATTATGCCATATTTTTTACATTATTTTGTAGATTGTGTAAGAATTGGGTAGCATCACAACCTGTACCATTGTTCACAAAATTAACATTTTATATGGGGTCAAACAATATATAAGACTTGACTTTGTGAATGGAGATTTTCTTCACTTAGATTAATATAAAGACATATGTGGGTTTTGATGCGGTTAAGAATTAAACGGAATATCACATTAATATAGCAAATGACATTATTACTTTAGTTAAATGAATCATCCCAAAATATTCCATATAATATAATCCACTGATAAGGGTAAACCAATACACCACCTGAGATTCTGGAAGCCCACTTTTAAGTCAATATAACATCTTTAACAAACAATCTGCTGGGTTCATTCAAAATGGCTTCTTCATTCTTGTTGGATGTATGACACAGAAAAAGTGCATTCCAATATGTTGGGGTTGTTATTAAAGGTTGTTAGGCAAATCTTCACAGCAACAACACACAGAGGACAGTAAGAGTCAAGCGCCACACCAAACCAAAGACAGAGGTCAGGACGGAGTGCAGAGAAGTGAGTATCGAGCGTGAAGATGGGAAATGTGAAAGACACAGCAAGGGGCTCAAGCCAAATGGAGGGAGAGAAAATAAGGAGGTTCAAAAAACAAAAACAAGAGAGAAATTAGATACCTGATGTAAAAATCAAAATACAAACTTCTTTTCCTTGAATGCAAATCAAAAGGGGGAGAGGGGGGAGAAGGAATGCGACAGTGTTAAAACTGCGTGTTGTGTTGAGTACCTTCTGACCAATAGGAAGCCGTTCTTAGAGAGAGGGCAAGGGTTGGTCAAACGTCAGAAAGAAAAGCAACAAACGCACACAGAAATGCAACAAGTGTCTGCTGAGTGCGTCTGTGTTTGAGAGATGTTGGATAAGGCCTGTGCAGCTGTCACATGCACTAACCAGCAAAAGAACCTATTATTAAGCAGTGGTTCTGGGAAAGAAATCCTTTAATCATGGTTAACTAAAGATAATTATCATCCAATACCGCAGCAACTCGTGGTGTTTAATTTGTACAGCATGTCTGTGTACAATTGAAGGGGGCCATAATTAAGTTGTTACTGTAAATGCAAATGTGAAAAATTAAGATGATGGAATTCCTTTATACCTCCAGCAATTATTATATTTTGTATATTTTAGCCAGTTGTTTATAATATCTTTGAGGGTTTTAGTTAATTATTTAATGGAGTGATCTTCAACATTGTTCATTAATGATTGTGTTGATGATCGCCGAATTTATTTAGAAAACTAAACACTATTCAAGTAGTATGTAAAATAAAAAAATCTTCCCCACATTATAAAAACATAATGGTTAAAATTAAACATTTTCCAATACTTTGACCCCAGAGATGTAGAGCAGGGGTCAGCAACCTTTACCATCAAAAGAGCAAATCAGATGGAACCGCAAAACATATTTGATGGCACAGCTTATTATATATAGTTATACTATATCTGCAAAGACTATAGTTCATGGCATTTATAAAATTAAACAACAAAATAAACTGTTGACATGTTTTGGTATTTTTAACTGTTAAGAAAAGGAAATCACAAAACTCTTATCAAGAGGCAAAAAACATACATTGGCATGTGCAGGCCCTTGTTTAATTAATGAAACAAAACTTTTACATGCCTATTTGAGTCCTCTAAATATTTGATGAACATTTATAAAATAAGAACTAGACAACTTTGAAATAGTTTTAGCTGTTGCCTAGTGGCTTAAAAACAGTAAAGGATAGGCCAGTTTGTATTTCAAATCTGTTTCCAAGAAGTGTTTCCTCTGAAAGATTGCAAAAAAGTGTATGAAATAAAATAACATATTTCTAGCAAAGAAATCTGCAGATGGGCAGACGATCTGCACGTGGCTCTAGAGCAGCGGGTTGCCTGCCCCTGCTCTACAGTGACATCATCACACAGCACAGCACGGTGTGTGTTTAGTGTATGTGCTTGTTTGCATGCATTTGCATTTAAACATCTTCCTCATGCAGCTTTTCTGATTATAGTAGCTACATTTGTTCTAGGCCTCACTTTTAATGAGAATAAAGACATTCTGGGCATTTATATCAGTGCTCTAGATTAGAAATCATGCTTTAAAAGAGCACAAATGCATGCATGCATACACAGACAAACATTACATGAGTTTATACAATAACCACATTACCTCTTCTGTTTGTAGGTGAGCATTGCCTCTGAGATGGGGAACTGGTGAGACACGTTGGCGCCGACCAGATACTGAACGACTCGTCCTGCTACATCGATGTTGTCTGCAGGAAAGGGGGGGGGGGGGGGAAGAGTGTTAACAACCTCTGCTGTCTCCTGTCTGACTAACAAGCTGCAAGACAATTGATGCACATGCTAATTCTCACATACAGCAGTTGCTAGAAGAATACGCATTAATCATTTTCATTCCACTGATTTAAGGAGGAGGGGGAGTGTAAAATGTCATTAAAAACGTGGGTGAAGTCAGCCATAAGACACACAAGATTAATTGTGTGTCTAACAGAAAGCCTCTGGGCCACATGTATGTCTGCCAAAGTGATATGTGGAAACGCACTCAGAGCCATCCATGAAGGACCCAGTACTTTAACATACTTTTTATTTTCTTGGAACAACTTTTAAGATGATACAACATTATGTGTGGAACTGCCACTATTGCACCTACCGTGTGCAAATAGGTGAGGATGATTGAGGCTTATCTAGAAGGTCTGGGCAAGAAGAGTGAACATTGAGTAAAAATAATTAGAATACAAGCTGAGAGGAGTTACTGGTTATGAAACAGTCTCAGTTTAAAACGGATGCCTCTGTATGAACTAAATAAGCAAATCAGCAGCGACTAGATTGGTTATTTCAACATTTTTTTCTTAAAGCCTCTCATTGTGTCCAGTTGAGTAAATCGGACGAAATGATTTATGGCTTGCAGACTGGAAGAATTTACGTCAGCATGTTTATAGGCAAAGTGCTGAAGTGAGTAGCATGTTAAAAGTTAGACAGTTAAAAGGAAGCAGAAGGGCATTTTTCTTTAGAGGCTTTCTTTTGGCTTTTTGAAGCTATACTTTGTGGTTATGTAAAAGACAAAAGAAAAAGTATAGGGACTGTGTGACTGGATTGGGTAAAAAAAACAGCCCAAAATCTTAAGACTGCAACTTTGACAGTCTTTGGGGTGAGTATCTGAGTCAGAGTTCTGACAGCCTGCAGGGCTCCTTTAGCAGACAGTTTACAGGGAGGAGGAGCCGTGCCCTAATCGAGGACCGTTCGCTACACTGGAGCAAGCTGTAGCTGTCTCTAGCAATTGGAGGAAAACCTCTTCTTCCCATCCATCAGTCCCTGACCCGTCCTCTGACCCCATTGCATTCCCTTTCAAGTTGGCTGAACATTAGACACGCAGCTTTTCTTTGTAGCCCCATCAGAGCCGTGCATCCTACCTGAGGCGGGTCGCTCCGTCCTGCAGAACAGCTCCCTCCACGCAGTGTCCATAAAGATGCTGTTGAACCGGCTGTCAAAGGAGGCCACATACTTTGCCAGGGGATGGGAACCTGTGCAGAGAAAAAGCAATGAATGAGTACACATAGGGTATTTTCATGCGTCTCTTTCAAAGTCTTTCTAGTGCGGCAGCTTTTAGTGATTGTAGTAAATAATCTCAACTTTTCATAAAGGGCTTGTGACGTCACTGTAGAAAATGGAGCAAATGCTTTTTTTTGCCAAGTTTGTTATCCTTATCTCAATTTGTTTTGTTGTATCATAACAAAGGCTGTGAAGCCCATTTGTGGAAAAACCTGGGGAGTGTTGTGTTTTTTATTGTACTCCTAGCTCTACGGCCGTTAGAAGACCAACTCAGTCATACAATTTAAAAGGCAGGCATCTTGAGTTGGTTTCTCATGGGGAAAAAACAATGTCAAACAAACACAAAGTAGCACTCATTAGATATTATTATATGGCAAACACCACAGTGTACATTGTACTCTATAAGCAGGGGTGCACATAAGTGCTACACATGCACGGCAACAATCTGAAAGGCGTACCGTCACTTGTGTCACAAAGCGCATTTGCGTACCGACGTACTTGTGAAGCTTTTCCAGAAGGCGGTTAGATCACCGGACGACAGAGTCGGTCTCCGTGTGCACAGACAGGGCTGCTGTTAACGTCGGTCTGTACAGCAGCACTGCGATAAAACAGCCGATCACAACGTTCACATGCTGTGTTCACGAAGCTCTGCACCCGCCCCCCGCTGACATTCACGATACAGAGGGCTTCATACTCCACTAGCACCCCGAGCTGACATTCGCGATACAGAGGGCTTCATACTCCACTAGCACCCCCCAGCTGACATTCAAGATACCGAGGGCTTCATACTCCACTAGCACCCCCCCGTTGACATTCGCGATACAGAGGGCTTCATGGGAA